AGCGTGTGCGCCCGGCCGCACGGACACACGCGAGGGCGCACGCGCGCGCACGCACCCAACACCCCTCCCCGGGCGGCTCCCAGCCCCTGGGCGGGGCGGGAGGTTAGAGAGTCGGTCCTTCAGCCTCCAGCGGCGCCCCGCCCTCAGGAAATCCCTGCGCAGCCCCCCCCCGGGGGAGGGACCCTGGCCCCCGAAACTGGCGAGTGTTCGGGGCGGCTTAAAGGACCCTGGTTTGAGGAGCGCTCGTCAGCCCCCGGCTCTCCGACTCGGGGCCGCCCTCCGGATGGCACAGCTTGCAGGGGCCCCCGCTTTGGCTCCTGCATGGCGCCCGGCTGCAGAAGCTGAAGTCCGGCAGCCCTCTCGTCCCCGGATTGGCTGGGTGGCCTCCGGGCCGGGGAGAGGATGGGCTGTGCGCCCCATGCCCAGGCAGCCTCCGCCGCAGTGGCCAGCGAGCTGCGCGCAGCTTCGGCAACTCTGCAAAGCCCTGGCCTGCTCGCGCCCCCCTTCCTCCAGGAAGCCTTCCAGAGCCCCAGCCCCAGCTCTTGAGGCTCCATTTTCTCCACAGACCGTGGGCTTCTCTAGCACGCCAGGACGCTGAGCCCCCAGCCCCAGGAAACAGACACCCGATCATGGGCCACTGTCCGCATGCCCTCGTTTCTACAGTCAGGCCAAAGGCAGGAGGGGCAAGTATGGTGGCTGCGCCCAGTATGGTGACCGTGAACTCCACCCGGGCAAGGGCCACACCCTCCTGTGGACAGCCACCCCTACTCCCAAACACGCACTGACCTATGCACGGCCCCCTTTACAGGCTGAGCTCGAAGGGCCTCATCTCTAAGAGTGGGGCCAAGAGCGCTGACTTCCTGCAGGCCCGGGGCTGCCCGGCGGGTGCGGGGCACCAGGTGCGCCTGCTGGGTGTCAGGCAGGAGCAGAGCTAGGATTCCAGCTCTGTTCAGGACGCCCCTGGGCTCCGTAACCAGGAAGCCCACGCGGGGTGGTGCCGCCCACAGGTGAACTCCAGCCTGGCATCACCGGGTGGCCAGGGCCGCTGCTGTCACACAGGCCGCCACGGGCCCCCAGGCTGCCCACTATCAGGCCTCAGCTTCCCCCTGGAAAGACTGGACCGCCCGCATCTTGCCCTGGGGACACAAAGCCCAGGTTCTGGGAAAAATTCTGCCCAGAGAGGTTCCCCGGGTCCGAGGTGGGGGGCGGGGGGGCAAGCGGGCCCACTGTTTGCTGGAACAAGTGCACAGCCCCAGGGGACAATCTGGAGCCAACACCCCTTTGAATGGTCATTTCTGGTGCGTTTGCTGGGGGCCCGGGGAAGAGGACTAGAGACAGCACCCACTGGAGACTGTTGCAGGGGAGTGGGAGGGGAGTCCCCAGGTGTCCCGCTGAAAACCGCGGGAGGCAGGGCTCGGGAACCCTGACTCTGCCCAGAGATGTTGTGGGACCTTGAGCAAGAGCCCGTGTTCTCAGGACCTCCGAGACCCAAACCGGAGTCAGTGATCTAGGGAGCAGGCAGTCTCCTTCCGTCTCCGGCCCAGCGTGTAAGCCACTCATGTTACCATGGGCGCACACCCAACAGATCTCCATTAAATATTCCTGGATTCCTGCCCACGTCTACATCATTTTTTAAGAAATAAAAATAAAAAGTTGCCTACGTTTCGAGAACCTCAGAGAAGGGTGGGGCAGGTCCCCACGGGGGTCAGACTCCAAGGAGGAAGCAGAGCCTTAATCCAGGAGAGCCCTGCAGCACAGTGTCCACCGCTGCCCACGCAGGTCTGGCTGCCTCCTCCAGGCAGCATGCCGGACTGTCCCACCCTGCAGCTACAGATCCCAGATGGTCCTCCGCCCCAGCTCTTCTCCCCAGTGTGGTGGCGAGCTTCTTAGCTTCTTAGGGACTCTCCCATGTCAGCCAGGGCTCCCCCTGCAGGCACAATGTTGGGGGAGGGGGTGGGGCAGCAGCCCCTGAAGTCAATTGTCCCGTGGGGGCTGCAGGTCCACCCACAGTCCTCTGTCACAAGGTACAGGTGGGGTCTGCACCCTCGGGAAAAGATGAGAGCATCGTCCATCTACCTGTGTGACCACTTGAGTGGCCACCCCCTGCCACCCAGAGCCAGTGACCTTCCCTCCCAACCATGGCCACCCACCTGCAGCCACAGCACGGACCCTGCCATCATGCAGACCGCCCAGTCCTGATGTGACCCAGCCACACGTCCAACCCATACCAGACCGTCCTCCCTTCCTCTCCGGCCCCGCCGCACCCCGTTCCTGGCCCCTTGCAGCAGGGGGTAGGGCCAGTGCGGCCCCCACCCGGAGGAGCCTACCATCTGGACGGAACAGGTTCCGCGGTGAGATAAGCGTACAACAGGGCCGTGAGGTGGGCACCTGGTCAAGGCCTCCCCCTCACCAGGCGACCGCTTTGCTGGGCTGGCCTGTCCGAGCCTCGTGGCACCCAGCGGCCTTCCAGACATAACGGGGCGGATCTATCCCACCGACCCTCAGACACTACTCCCACCCGCCCCCGAGCCCTGCCCCGGCCAGGCCTGGGACCACAGCACCCCCAGCCCCGGACTCCCGCCCCTCCTGAGCCCCGGACACACCTCTGACCCCTCAATCTCAGCAGAGGCCCAGGCCCACGGCTGGAGTCCACCCCGTCTCTCCCCATCTCTGCCACTCGGGCTCCGTCCAGTCTGCAGAGCCCTCGGCTTTGCCCAGGCTGATCGTCAGGGCCCTGTTTGCCCCCAGCCCCTCGCTGCACATCTCAGGCTGAATCTCCTCCCCGCCCGGCCACACACGGAGCACCTCCCTGGCCCCACATGCTTCCATCTCCAGCCCCGGCCTCTCTCTGGCCCACTCGCCCACGTCCAGCCATCCACGGCCCACGGGCACCTGACACTCGGTGCATTCAATGCTGCCCCATCCCTGCCCTCTGCGGTCCCCACCCCCGAGAAGGGCACAGCTACCCTCAGTCCCCAGACTCCGAGTGGCCGTGGTGACCCCTCCTTGCCCCTTGCCCCTCACAGGTGGTCACTGAGTCCTGGTGATCAGCTACTCAGAAGCTTTGGACATGTCCCCTCCTCGGCCTGGTCCAGGAAGGTCCTGGGCTGGGCATCCGGGGGTCTGCGGTCACCTGGGGGGTGCCCCCATCGCTGCCACGGCTGCCCCCTCCCCGGGCATCAACCTGAGCCCTGCCTGACCTCTGCCTTGGTCTCCATGTCTGTAAAGCTGGGGTGTGGGCACCCACACACGGGGCGCTAGGGCCGTCGTGTGGTCCGTGTCCTGCCCCTGCTCATCAGAACCACCGGGAGATGATGCTAGAGGCCAGGGCCGTGTGGACGTGGGAATCTGGGGAGATTGCCCGGGGCCAGGGACC